GAGGGCGGAGCCATAACTTGCAGAACGTAGTTAACTGAGCTAATTCTTGGAGTAGCAGTAGAAACACTCTGGAGAGGAGTTTCACGGCGAGAAGCAGCGTCCCTTCCATATTCCGGTAGTCCTTTTGCGATCCCTGAGCGATTTCGAGCAAGTCGTCGAGGACCGTGAAGATTACTTTGTCGAAGCACTGAGACCAAATGCTGTGACCGATCTGGATCCCGTGGATCCCGATCCCGGCCAAGCACTTCTGTAATGACTGTAGGGCATGATTTCTGACATCCTCTCTCTGGTCTAAGCACACTTTTCTCAGTCCCTGAACAAGCCTTAACCACATCTCCCCAATATCTTGGACCATCCTTCCAGATTCATCTTCTCTCATACTCTCCTTAGCCGTATGAGCCCACTTGACCAAACATTCCACAGAACCTGCCATTAGATTGAGGGCATGAATCGACCGCTCGGATTGTCCAACCCGAGACTCGGCAAACTGTCTTGCCGCATCGATACAGAGTATATAGTTAGCCGGTAATAAGTGAGCTCCACTGGACATAACAAACGATATGGCGTCGAACCCTGCTTCGGAAGCTTCGGGATGCCGAGCCGTGATTGAGAGTAGGGAAGTGATTGTTCTCCACCCTGCCTGGGACCTGATGTGGCTCGTGTTAGCTTTCACAAGGCGGCTGACTTCAAGAGCGATTTGTTCACAATAAGCATCGGCAACACGAGCATCGAGTTTCAATACAAGCTGAAGTGATCTCAAAAGTTCATCGGCCAGGCTCTCCTTATAAGGCAGCAGTCTCTGGCAAATCCGGAGGAGACCAAAGACGGCTTTCTCTACTAAAGCAGAGGGCATTACCGTCGACTGAACAATATTAGCAATGTGTTCATAAACACCCTGCCAGAGAAGAACAATCCTGTCTCTGTTGTTAAGAGTGATCGCAATAAGCAATTCCAGGCAGAAAACCGCTGTATCCTCATCCTCTGGAGAACCGTTTCCCTTTTGAGGCCTCCCTGCCATCCAAATGAGGGCACGTGCAAGTTGCAGCAGCGATTCAGCTTGAAGAAACTTGCTTTCCGTGAAGACGCTGTCGATGTGGCATTTCTGGATTGTTTGAATGGTGCGTTGATGAGCAGCAAGCTGTTGTTCAGTAGGTTGTGATCTTGGCTCTTCTGCGTCGAGCGAAAGTAGCTGACTAAACCTCCCCATCAAACCCGAAGATCTCCTCGGAGTTCCCATTGACGGTAAATGAACCGAAGATAGAGAATTCGTTATGGGCTTCCCTTGACCTGGATCGGATGAAAGCTCGGATTCATCAGCTGCATCACTGGCTACACGTGCTGGCAGAAGGCCGAGTTTATGTAACCGTAATATGCAGTCCAAAATGTTCCTCCAACCCGTTCGGATATAATCCCCATACTTGTTTGCAATCGTAAAAACAGTAACAGTTGCCATCCTTGCCTTCGTGTCATCACCAAATGCAAGAACTGGTTCGTCGACAGATGACGGATTCAACAGAGTCGTGAACTTGCAGAGAGACACAACCAGGTCATCAAGCACATCTTCAAGATGATGGCAAGCAGATATTTTAGCAACAGCCAAGAATCCGTCGATACATGTCTGGTAAACATCTTCGTGTTCCACATGGTCGAATACAACAGATATGGCGGCTATGGTTGGACCAGACATAATGGCAAACATGTCATGGTCAAGATAGGCCCTCGAGTTAGCCACAATGTATGGAGCAGTTGTCTTAGATTTATGCATCAAATCTATCCAACGACTGGGAGTCATTTCAGGGTAACCGGCACATTGTTCTGGAGAAGTACGAATCTCGTTGTTGCAGATAGCGTGATAGAGTTCAGAAAGATATTCCCGGGGTAGGTCGCTCCCTCCATTGATATGTCTATTATTACGAATGAAATCCTCTTCTGTCATCTTCTTCTTTACTTGAACATTGTGCTGGTCAGTGTTGAGCATAATAAGAGAGTACGAGAGCAAGAGAGCAGCATCCTTGTTAGCAAAAATATGTGGTGATTGCTCATAGTACCTTTCAGAGAATGCCTCAAGCACTCTCTGTATCTTCTGTGATTCTCCGGGCAACCTGAAAGTTTCCAAGAAGAGCCGGAGTGCAGTATCCAGATTCATGTCCTGGAAATCGAAAGTCCCAGCAAATTCATGGAGAACTTGAACACAGAATTCATCGTGATTTCCGAGAAAATCCCCAACAAGATTCTTATCCAATCCAGCGGTATACCTGAAAAAACAAGCTACACTTTGGGGGTCAAGTTTGTCAGGCAAAAGATGTGTCCCTTGCAGAAACTCTAACCCTTTCTTTGGATCCCGGTTAAAATGATCTGCCCCGATAATCAACCTTCTCTTGATATACTTTCTCCTGCGGACAAATGAAACCCAATGATTCGGATCACTGTAATTGTCACACTTGACCATCCAGAAAGGCGTGTACTCGTCGAGGTGAACAGGACCTAGATCCAAGCCAGTCAACCCATTACCAATCCTCTCAGCCATTCCCTGAATAACAGCAATTAGGCCATCCAAGGCAAGAAGGTGCATTGCCGACAAAGGGCAGTTCACGGGAAATGCACTCTTCGAAAGAAGATTAGAGAGATCTTCGAACACATTGCTACAAGTTATATCACAATCGAGATTGGCATACATCTCCACCATAAAAGTCTTCTGCCTGCAGAAGTTAACAAGAGCCTCCATAGCAACCTCTTGCTGCTGATATGAGGCCCCGTATTTGCCCTGTGCAAGCCTCAGAATCACACAAGAAAAGAATGCCTCCAGCTGCAGTTTAAGTTCAGTACGTAGATGATGATACACATTGAGCACAATGCTGCAAACCATCGAAAGAATAAGTGGACTCATTGACAAGCCGAATTGCATCAAGTTACGGAATAACTCATCCTGAACCAGGCTTAACAATCTGGGGTGATGCCGGATGGATGCCCCACCCAATTCTATTGCTGAGTTGATTAAGCTCAATGCAAACAGAGGCACATCTTCATCAAATGCTATAGTGTTTGACTGAGGGGCCATTCCAACATGTTCAACCACATTTAATAATGAGCATAAAAAGTGAAATATTTCGACCATACTCGGAACTCCATATGGCTCTGTCATTAGATGCAAATCATATGGTGAAGCATCTTTTCTGCTTCCAGCACCGACTGTTCCATCATCCATCACACCGGGAACACCAGATGCAAAAGTTGCCAAAGAATTTTCGGTGTCATAATCAGAGTTAGCGTTCCCAATGTTAGTTGGCTTACTCCCGAAGGTATAATCACTGTCTACACCAGCACTCTGCAATCATCCACACAACCATCATTTTATTTATCAATAATAACAATGTCACAAGAGAATAAACGCATAAATCAAACATCCATTGAGATCCTTGTTACATAATCATTAACTAAAACCATGATCTATATTTAGTTTTTTAGCAGTGCTCCTGTGACTCACTGACAAACAAGAGAGAAATTTCAGGTGAACGAAGATAGCCTTCTAAGAATATTGAAGTCTTAAAGTAGGATCTAGAACTACACAAAAATAAGAAAATACATCATTATGCTAACATTTGCCAAGTAAGTGGAGACAGTTTGTTTTCCTACTTCGTTCTACATTGTTTTAAGAGGAGATCACCTTCCTATTGTTAGATCATATTTTCCTTCCATTTCTGAACGTCATAGAAAAATATCATACCCAAATTGACTGATAATCAGACAAAACAAAAGAATCATATACCACAAAATTACCTCTTGGTCAAAGCTTCCGGCTCTATTAACAAGGGCATTTTCTGTTCGGTCAATATCTGGGAGGTGCGAAAAGATACATCTAACCAGTTCATGCATGGTGTGCCGAGCTACACGTTGCAATAACTCTCCTTTCATTCCTGCTTGGTGAACGATACGGAAACAAGTGTTGACTACGGTGCAAACATGCTGATTGCTGAGCACAGCTGATGCTTTATTTTTCATGCATGCCAGAAGAACCTGAAGTATCTTCATCAGCACAACCTCTTCTGATGCAGGATCTGTCACCTCAAATCGGCAGCTTGTCACAGAATCGACCACCAAGTGCATAGCATCCTCAATATTTGCAGTGTTTTGATCAATTACATCAAGAGTCAAAATCTTGTAAACCGATGACAAAGCAATGCTGGTTATTGGTGCTCCAGTTTCATCTGACCGTATCACATCTAGAAAAGGCTGGAGGTACAATACCGGAGTAATTGTATGCCATAGCTGCTGCCATGAGAATATTTGTTTTCTTAGAGCTTTCAACGACTGAATCAATGAGTGTTCTAGCTGATCATCACCCGACATGTATCGACCTCCCCATCTGACATTTCTCCTCATAACCGCCAAAACGGCAGCAATTTCTGTATCAATCATGCATGCTAATGTAACTGTATTGCTTGAGTCGGTACTCTCAAAGTCCTCGGGCTCTTCCTCGATGGCCTTGATTGCAGGTTGTGACTTTAGGCGACCCATCTGTCCACTATAATCTAGAGGTAGAGCCCGAGGTACCTTATGCTCAGAAACTGCCCGTCAAAAGATGGGATAACCACAGCCAGAGCATACCCTTCATAAATGAAGGGAATACACTGTCAAAAGTCAAAACTCAAGATAAAGAGCCAAATGCGGTTAAAGGAGTAGTTCAACAGTAACCAAAAGAGTCACCTTGAAAGGTGTTTGAGAAGGTAACCGCATAAATATAGCAAATAATGTGTTCCACATCCAAGAGTGAAAAATTTTCATGATGTCGTCAATGAATGAAGCCGATTCAACTACGATCTTTCAAGCACAGTAGTCATGAACATGAACACAGCAAGATATAAGTCAAGAATAGGCTATAACTGATTGTCTACCACGCTGATAGTTTGCTAACTAATCTCAGTATATATATAACCTCCAACTTCCATTAACTCAATCGTCAGCAAAAGCAACTCATTACTACAAATCCAAGATTCTGAAGCTGGTAACATACTAGCTACAACGCCATATCTATCTATAACATTACCAGTTCAGAGTCAAACACTCAAACGAAAAAACAACCAAATTCTAAATTAGTCTCCATTTCCACTATTTATGGTCATGGAGCCGCAGAGTACTTCAACTGAGCAGTAGCAGCATCGTAAACTTAATGATACAAGGCGAAATCATCCGAATCTAAAATCAAACTCTTTCCATAAAACCAGCCCTAACCAAACAAGGTATCTTCGGTCCTCAAATCTAGCAGAAATCTCGAAACCGACCTAATAAAATCTCAAAATCCAAGCAAAACCCCACAATGCGAAGAAACCGCACGGAATCTCACTTAAACGGTGGGGCAGAGAGGACAAGCAGCATCTCGGTTAGATTCTCCTAGTATTACGAACATCAATGCGCGACGAAGAAAACTACACGAATTCGACATTTGAAGAAGAGAGATCTATCGATTTGCATACCTGTTAGGTGGCGGATTCAAAAGACTGAGAGATCTGTCGACGACGAGAAAACAGAAATGCTAACGAGGGAAGCACGATCGAAGACGCTCGGGAGAAACAGAGCAGAGGAACAAATTGAAAAACAAAATTAAAAATTAAAAAAAAAAAAAGTGAAGTAAAGGAACGTAATTTACAGAAACACCCCTGGGACGACAAAGCTGTTTTTTTTTCGAGTGGGATTGTGGGAGGGTCTTCAATTACTTGATATATTTACCTATCGGGACCCAAACTATTTTATATTTTTCTGTTTTGACCTAAATATTTAATCTGAAATTTAGCTCCTTTTCGTTCTTCAATATCTTATCCATTACTTGCTAAGGTTTAGGATCATTTTAAAATATGGTCGTAGATAAAATTTTGTGGCGAATGTTTGTAATGAACATCTATGGTTTGTTATTATCGGATTCGGTGTAAATTCAACATATTAGTCGAATGATAAAATTTGTGTGTTCCAAATACTCGCCAAATATATTTTGGTAAATTATATACACTTTTCCATATTGAATTATACAACTTTGCATGATGTAAAAAAAATGATACAATCTTTGCTCAAATATTAAACTGTTTTTCTTTCGACCGATATTTTTTTTTCATATAGACAAATAATTTTTAACAAAATGACTTGAGTGAAACAAAGTTAACCACAATCACAATCAACAAATTAAAATAAGATTTGTGTATACTTAAACGCAAAGATTGGCTAGTCGAAATTTTTAAATGTAATCAAAATTGAACCAATTAATCAAAACTAACAGTGATTTTTCCACTTTTTTTTTTTTAAAAAAAAAGAAAAAAATAATGGTCCTATTGGGAATGGCCCATGAAGCCATGATGGGCCCAAGCGGAACAGACCCGTTATCCGTCCACTGCAAGAAGCGGGAAGTGGTCGCTGCTCTGTGAAACCAGCCTCACGCATTGCCCTCCACTCTAGGGAGCCACGTGGCCTGAGCTTTCGCCCAAACCACGCGGACCAACTTCTTACTTGGACCGGGCAAGCCAGATCATATCCGACTCGGACCCGACATCAGAGCGCAGTCCAATGTCCCAATTACCTTGTTGCCCCCACTTGGGTCACAAGCCCTCGTCAGCGAGCTCGGCGGACAGTGCGATCATCTATGGGATTTATAAACCAAAGTTTTCAATGCTGAATTAGCGATGTGGGACTTTTTGGTGATTGATTAACCCTCGTAATCTCTTAATAAAATTTTGATTAATTTTGTTTATATATTTTTACTCCATTTGACATGTTTTTTTTGTTGTTAAATTGTATAAATAATGTATTTCGGTCAATTTCGCAAATTTTTTTTAAGAAGATACAAAACTTTAGATATTGAACTATTATATATATATATACTGTTAGAATCAGCTGGGTTAAGAAGCGTAATTACTAAAACCAGTGTCGTTTAGTGATTAATAGGTGGATTATAATTAGACGTAAGCAATTCAACGTGTGAATTTTGTCACACCTGTTTGTTCACATATATTTGTAATATTTTTCAAAGGTGTGGCGAGAAGATCACATATTCTCTTTGATTTTTATAATATCTCCGGTTGGAGAAAAAAAATGATGAATCTTTTAATTAGTTTCCTTTAGGTGTCATTTATATGATTCGATTCACCATATCATACAAAAGCGACATATTTGAATTTTGGTACGACTTTTATCCTATCATTTATTTTATTTTGTTGACTTTGAAATACAAATAAAAAAATTGTGCAAACATTAAATTTAGGTAAATCTAATGGATCTATTCGACCCTTTCACCTTTGTTTGGATTCATATACGTATTACTACTATGTATAATTACTGAAAATGAAGAAGAAAATACGAAAATTTACAAAAAAATAAAAATAAAATAAAATAAGAAAGATGAACGAGACGACACTGAGATGACGGTCCATATTTGGAAGCCATGCACTGACGAAAATTCCAAACCTCCCCATTCCTCGTTATCACTATGCGTAAATAATTGAATATTATGTTGAAAAGTTATACGATTTGACCCGACCCGTTCAAAACCCGGAATTTTCAAATCAACGGCTCGAATATATAATCTTCATCGTCTTCACCACCGTTTTCCATCATCTTCTTCCACCTTCACTCGCCCCCTCCTCCTCGCGCTCCAATGGCGATGTCACATCCTCCTCCTGTCAATCTCTGGCTACTCCTCTCGGAATCGAAGCGTATAATCAACGCTCACTCCCGCCATTTCTTGGCGCTTTCCGTCCTCTTCCTTCTCCCTCTCTGCTTCTCCGCTACAGTTTACCCCTCCGTCATCCGCCTCCTCTCCGACCAATCTACTGCTCCAGACAGCGTTTCGCTCCTCCGAAGCGGTCTCAAGTACCATCCAAGCGCCGCCGCCAGCAATACCGTGGTTCTGCTTCAGATTGTTTACTCCGTTGTATCCACCGTCTTCAACCTCTTGGCTACTGGATCGATCACGTACAGTGTGTTGCAGGGATTCTATGGTCGTCCTGTGAAGCTTTTGCCCGCCATCAAATCGGGTTTCGCTTCGTTTTTCCCTCTCCTGGGTACTTCAATCTCAATCCAAATTATCGTGTTCGGAGTTACAGCGATCCTGGTGTTTTCTGCGATCGTTCTGAACATGGGATTTGATTTATTTGGCATCGAAATCAATTTCTCGTCACCGTATTCCCTCGCTCTGGTCATTGTTTTAGCGATCGTGTTGATCGCGATCGTGACTAACCTCTGTGTCGATTGGATCCTAGTGAGGGTAATCGTTGTGATTGAATCGAAGTGGGGGTTTACGCCATTAAAGCGAAGCAAAACCTTGGTCAAAGGGATGAGAGGCGTTTCCTTCTCTCTCACCCTCTTCTTCGTCTTCACCGGATCCGTTCTCACATGGAGCAGCTTCCTCGACTCCTTCGCAAAACTCGCCGGCAGCGACGGAGCCACCGACGAAACGCGGTGGACAAACGCGTTTTTCGTCCTCAAGATCGTGATCACGTCGGCGTTTCTGACGCTGCTTTTGCTGTACAACATGGCGGCGATCACCGTATTGTACGTGTATTGCAAGGCCGCTCACGGCGAGTTTGGGTCGGAGATCGGAGCAGAGTTCGCCGAAGAATACGCGAGCTTGCCTTTCGACGATGGTAAAGTTTTTCACTTGGTATCTGCAGCTGACAACGTCTGATCATCCCATCTTTTGCTTCTGCGTTTGAAAATTTTCGATCTTTTGTTGTTTTTTTTTGTTAATAATCTTTTGTTGTTTTTTGTTTGTGGGTTTCTAGATTTTGATCGGGAAAGTCTTACGTCTTTTGTTGTAAAAGAGTTTATACGAAGAACATGGTTCTATCGTGTGAACTCATTGAATGAAACGACGAAGGCAATGTCATGTTGTGGAAATAGCTATAATCAATTTTACAATTTTTTTTTTAGTGATAGTTCGGTTTTTCGTAATCAAACCGTAACAAACTGAAAATTTTGGTATTTTTTTCTAAATCGTACCTTATCAAATTCTCGAATAGTAGGATATTTATAGAATCGAATTTATCGAAACCGAACCGAACTAAACTTTATAAAATTCTCGAAAACCCGATTTTTTTTTAAGAAAATCTAATTTTTTTTTACAAAATCCGAAATCCGGACCATATCGAAACCGACTCGAACTGAATAATATATGGTACTAATTTGGTACAAATTTTAGAATACAGAATAAACAGTTCCCGAATCGAACCTTTAAAATTCCGATCCGAATCCCGAAACACACACCCCTATTTTTTTAATAAAATGATCACCAAGAAACTTTTTTTAATAACGTGGTACCTTTTGGATGCCCATGGCTCACAGGTGAGGAGGCTAATTAATAGTTTCTTGATAATAATTAACATCGATAATGATTAATTAATTATTTTATTATATTAGATAGAAAGATTCAAAGAGATATATAGAGAGAGAGAGAGAGAGAGAGAGGTTTTCCCTGATGTAAAATTAAAGATTCCATGAAGAAGATTCATTTGTACAGAAAAACCTTTGCCCTAAAAATATAAAATGACCGGTCCGGTCCGGTTAGTGAATTCAGAGAGATGGATGCAACTATTTGTTTAAAACCAGAAGAGTACAAGTTACAACATACAACCTCGTATCCCCCCTCCCCCCCTCCCATGTGTACAAAAACACAAAGAAACCCTGTATTTTCCATGTACAAAAGAATTCACAGAAACATAATCTGAGACCACAACATTATCCCTAAATCTAAAAGGTATTACACGAACAACAAACCCTTTCTGTACCAAGTTTTCATCTTCTGTAAGATCCCAACCCAAAAAAGATTCAAAGTCCCAAGCTTTCTGGAGCGTTGGCAGCAAAATGCATGAGCTCCTTCTAAGTTATTTGCTCTTCTTTCAGCCTTAGACGTGCAACTGGCTGCTGCTGGCTTAGGCTGTTGGCTGAGGCGGCAACTATATTATCCGGCCTTGACTGTGCTGCGGCGGCGGCGTGGCTGCTGGTTCTAGCTGCGGGAACATCGTGGTTGTGTTTTCCCTCGTACGTTGTTATGACAGCTTTCCTGTCTGTTGCTGCTCTTTCCACATGTTTCCTCACGTTGCAGCCTGGAGTTGTGCACTTGTAGTAGCTCCTGCGTATCGAAACCCACCCGTGAATTTTTACAGAAAACAACGGGCGTTTTATGTGATGAGAGAGGTGTAGTGTTATACCTCGGGTAAGGATTTCCTTTGACGACTTTCTGCCCGTACTTGCGCCACCTATACCCGTCGTCTAAAAGGTCAAATTCACTGGTCGTTTGGACAATGATTCGAGGTTCTGTCACAGTTCTATGTGAAGCAGCAGGTTCAGAAACCCTGACTTCTGTACTGTTTCTGCAACATTTCAAAGATTCTTCTTCATCAGAAATCAAACCTTTTAAAAAAGAATGGAAGGGCATTCGACAAATTTCATAATCTTTTTTTTTTACAAGTTTTACCTTCTCTTGGGATCAGGTTCATCTTCATCTTTTTCTTCGGTACCAGCTTCTCCATTACCAACTTCCTCACTATCGCTGGCCTCGGATATCTGCTCCGTTGTTGTAACCTGACTTGCTCCCTGATCCCTCCAAGTCTTGTTGGTTTGATTCTGTGATGCCATATCGGAATTCCCGGGATTGTTAACAGTACTCCCATTAAGATTCGCCCTTTCCCTGTTTCCCCTCTTGTTGTTTTGTGGAGGTTGATGATTGTGCTGACCCTTGTAGATGATTTCGGTTACTTGTCCATCTAGAGACCTCTCGACCTTCTTCTTGACAGGACACCCGAAATGCGTACACTTGTAATAACTACGAGGAAATTCACTGCCCTTCACTTGTTTCTGCCCGTACTTCCGCCAGTTGAAGCCATCATCAGCTGGCTTATCAACATTTAGCGGTTGTGACCGCTGCTGCTCCTGGATGGAAAGATCAGAGGATTCTCTCTGTGCCAGCGAGGAATCCGAAACCGAGGTTGGAGGAGCCGAGGAAAGATATTCAGGTTGGGCTTGCATATGGGTATTGGCTTGAACGGCCTGGGCAGTGACTTGAGCTAGAGCTTGTTGGTGTGTCATCCCGAACGCTCCCTGAACATAATCCCGTGTTTTAGAACGAGTTAGCTAAGGATATCCCACAGACAGAACAGGAAAACAATCCAACCGAACACGTTCATAGATTCGAGAATCTGGTGAAGAAAAATGGCCTGTTACCGAAGATCATCCTACTAATGATCAGAAGAGTAGCTAAACTGACTACCATTTCCCATCTAAGCTCCCCCTAACAATTCATGGGCCTTTAAGTCAGAGTTCCACAAGGCAATGGCTTGTCTTAAGGAACCGGTTTGGGACCAAAGCCATTAAGACAAGACCAAGATGTTTCAACAGGAATGAACCTATGTTTCAGAGGATAAAAGAACCCGGAAGAAAACCTAGTTTTGATCAGCAGAGGATCGGCGAATCTTCCCGAGCTGCACTTTCCTTGGACAAAACTTTCTGGGTTTCTATATTCGAACCAGATGCAAACTTCCTCCTTCAAACTCCCATATTCCTATTTTGGCAATCTCTAAAACCTGGTCCAATGCATTATCTGATTTCTCCAATCTTTACCATATCCCAAATGCTAACAAACTCGTGAGATTGGATATGTGATTTAGGATCAGAAGCTCTAAAAGGAGTTAAATTTGGGTTTTTTCCTCTCCTATTTTCCAGCAAAATGGTTAAGAATCCATGATTTGGCATAATCTCCAACAGCCAATGGCCCATATTTTCTCAGCAGCCAAACACACACACACACCCATAAGCTGAGGGAAGAAACCCGAAACCAGAAACAACGTCAGAGAAAGCCAGAAAGTCCTAAACTTTACACGTTTTGCCATAAATAGAATCTCAACAGCAAAACAAAGAAACCTAATTCCGTTCATCGAATTTAGCAATTCCAGAACTTCACCTGACCGGGCGAGAAAAGACCCAGAAAGCTCGGAGAATCCAGCAGCGTCGCCGGACTCAGCCCCGGCGGCACGGTGAACATCGCCGGCGGCTGCGTGATCATCAACCCTGCCGGTCTGTTCTGCTTGAACCTCGGGTCCACGTCGCCGGAGCTATTCAAGCCGCCGCCATCGACTTGGCCGGAGCTCCCAGGTCTCTGCAGAGCGACAGCAGCAGCAGCAGCCGCCGCC